AAAACTCAATAAAACTACAAAATTAAACAACTATAACTATAAAATAAATTCAAATAAGACTACAAATACTGAAGTAAATAAAAAAGTGTTTGTTCACATTAATTATCATAACAATGAAAATAATGAAATAATGTTATATCGGCTTAACAAGTATAAGTATATAGCTACTTAACAAAACAAAGTGTTACATTATTTAAACTATCACTAGTGTTTGTACAGCCAAATCATTGATTGTAATTATGTACACCAAGTATATAGTAACCAATTATCCTTTAGGCGGACTGCTTTCGCCATCCGTTTTACTATTGAATACACTTAAATGTCTTTCGGTGAATTATGTAAACGATAATACTTTTTAAATTTAACAATAGATTTAACTAATAAATTAATCAAATATTGGTATTTATGATTCCCGAGTTCATAAAAAATGAAATAACTAAATAAATAATCATTAATTATAACTAATTAAAATATGTAAATATTACTGAATAATAAATGTATCATTATGAGATTGATATTTAAATAATTAATATTTGAATGTTTTTTTTTTTAATTAAATGAATTTAAACAACCATTGAGTTCTAATGATAATTGATTTCTAGGATTAGATTTAAAAATATTGAATTACATTTGTGAGTATATCACTGCATCATGATGATTAGATTTTTGACTAATCGAGGCATACCGATTGAGGAGACCTCGACATTACTGTGAGTCAAATTATTATTTTATTATATTTAAGTCTTATAATTTATATATAGGTGCCTAAATACTGTACGAACAAACTCAATTTCAGCTGATAAAAACATTATTATATTTGGCCTTGTATTCATTATTTTTATAGAAACGCGGTAGTGGTTTTCGTCTTTCAGATATAATAAAAGCAAAATAAATGCTAATGATTATATAGAAAATACTATTTTGGTTAATGTTTATTCATGTTATAAAATACCTAGTTACTGGTTTATGAGCACGCAAAATTATTTCTATACTATTATAAAGTCTAGACAGTAATTTGTGGACCCCTATGGTTTTGACTTTTTAATTTTAATTTTACTGTTTATATCAAGCGTTAAAATCTTGTCAACGATGCTATTATTAACATCTTAAATCGCATGACTTCTCAATGTATCATATATTTATAAACTATTGACTTCAATTGTTCGAGAACAACATAAATTATCTTTAAAACACATATAGATTTTACATAACTTCATTTTTGATATTTAGTAAAAACAACAGCTAAGCAGTCATTACGATTTACTGGACTTTAGGTATTTTTTCCAAGCAAGTGCTGTACTACTATTATAGATTTGAAAATGATTTATGACAAATAATTACAAATGACAAAAATAATAAGAAAACATTGATTTAAATCAATCTAATATTTATTAAATTGAAATCCATCATAACATTTATTTGTGAATAAATATTTTCAAAATATATAAAATATATAATAGTTTTAATTTTGATAAATACGGTGTAAATAGAATTTGACTTAAAATCTTGATATCCAAAAGAATGAATTTTATGTAAAAAAAATGTATTGCGCTTAATCTCAAAAGATTTTTAATATCAATAAAAAAATTATTATTAAAATAATAATAATTTCATCATATTTTTCAAATCAATATTTTTAATTTCAAAATAGAAAAAACATAATCATATAAATCAACAGATGCCAAAATACTATAGGTATGTTAAAATGTATATAATGTCGAAAAAAAAATATCAAAACAAATAATTGACGAATAAATTAGTTTTTAAGCTTATAATATAATAAAGTTTCTAAATTTCAACAAAATTATAAAATATACTCATCATATAATATATAAATATATTCAAGATACACAAAATATATTTAAAATATACTTAAGACCATTTATAAATTATTATATAGTATAGTATATTCAAAAAACTATTGAGAAGTTTAAGAATGATCATCATTGTTTCATATTGTCTATCTATAAAATGGGGTTACACATAACTTTTAAAGAACCGTTTTATCCAAAAAGGTATTGATAAACATTATCAATTAGCGAAAACAATATCACTTGTATATATAAAACCAATAAATGGTAAGAGGACCCTTCATATTCTAAAACAATTAATCTAGAATGTACATAATAATAACAATAATAATATAATCATATATTTATAGTTTATGTTTAGCAGACCTTGATGCAGATACGCGTATATTCACTAAATTACATTAATGACGCGTCATTTCAGAAAATTACTGTAGTACCAACACGATATTTTTACGTAATAAATTTAAAATTCAAATTCAATAAATTTTATTACAATTCATTGCAGATGTATGTGCCATTAATGAGTTCACGTTTATTATTAAGTCGAATTTCACAACAATTATTAGGCTCGGTTGTGATATTATGCGATTTTATTATCATACCGATCATCTGGATTTGCTTAAAAACTATACAACACTTACATTGTACGGATTTAAGGTTTTTCGACTGATGTTGCGAAAAACGTTTACGATTACGTTTAAATTTTAATCATAGTATTATACATGGTTAATGCGTACACGAGATTTAAATATTCAAATGTGACGTACGTTATGTCGTGACGTGCAATGCTAATAAGTCGTAACGAGTAGACTGTTTAACGGCAATGGTCGTGAAAACGATAAGCGTTTTCGGTACGAAGGCCTCTAAGCAGTAATCATTAATTACAATAATTACGAAAGCACTAGACTTCCGATGAACCAACCGCGCTAGAGTTGCGGCATCTCGACTTCCGATGGTTCGAAAATGTCCGCTGAAACCCAGTCTTCTCGGGCTGTTTTTATAGCCAAGAATTTGTCTCGTACGATTAAAATAATAATACAATATTAAGATTTTGATACGTTGAATTTTTACTTTAAACTTATTTTAAACACGGTTCAACTGAACCACACGCATTTGACCGCATAATAATGATGATAAAAAAAATAAAAAAAAAAAGGAACAAAATAATATGCTGTCTAGTAATACACAAGAGTGTGAAAATTCGTCGAACATATAAAACTTGTACGTATTTTTTCCGGTCTGAACAATATGTACAGGTTTACTCGAATTCGTTCGTGTTTCGCCCTTCGGAATCAAATCGTAAAAATTAGTTGCGCCGTACATAATAATACAGTTATGAATCGGTAAGACAGTCGCGGGAGAAGATAATTGAAAACCGGTAGAAAAAAAAATTCAACATACGAAACATAACATATTAAGCGCCTGTGTAATAGTGTTGCACGTGCGTTTAAATACGACCAAAGGGATTGTAAAACGTTTGAGTTTATTCGTAACGACGACGTGACTAACTCGCGTGGAATATACACCTGACCGGCGGGGTTCCCGACGGTCAGCCGCGTGACGGACGGACGATGGCTTCGAGCGCGAACAAGCGCCCGCGAAAACAAACGCCACAACAACACTCGTCCGCCTGACGTATTAATAATATGATAATAAATATATTAATCGTTATACGGTGTAACGCACTCGTGTACTGTTAACGACACGAAATCGAAAATAATAATTACCACGTTGCAATGTGCGTTACGCGTGCGTGTAATATTACGATTCGGCGATGGCTTGGTGCGAACGCCGTGCACCATAAATAAGCCCTCGTTATTTTTTTTTTTTTTTTTATTATCAACAATTAATTTATAAAAATATAAATAAACTCACGGTCGGAAAAATAAAAAAAAATAATAAAATAAAATAAAAAAAGAACAATAAAACTACGTACCTAGTAAGTAACGGTAATGGTATTTTTATGTTTATTTATATTCTTGAAAACGCGTATTATTTGGTATTGCGAAAGATAAAAGTTATTCGGTCCTAAGACTACAAAACCGTGGTCGACGTTTCGCGCGTGTACCTCCGTGATGCGGTTCGGCACGTTACCGAGTAGTACCAGTGTTATGTTGGTTTCTGCACTAACGCGTCGCATAACATAATTGCAACGACGGTAATGAAAACGACGTGCCGACTTGGTCCGCGACGAGGTACGTCGGGAAAACGTAATACTGGTAAATAACAAACGAAAACGTGTTAAAATGATATCCCGTGTGACAACGCGCGTTGCGTGGCCAGTAAATAATATAATAATTGTATGGTTATGTTAACGCGCGCGCGCTTATGTCGTCGTCGTCGAGATGCAGCCAGCGACCGCGGCGTCGGCTGTCTGTAAGGTTATCAGCATCGGTGCTCGGGGTGTGGCGGCGACCGCGGTAGCGTCATCGACGGGGCGGGAGGTGCGTAGGAGGGAACCGGTCGGAGGGGGTTCCGTGGAAATCGTCGTCGACGGTCGCGGGGGAAGGGGGATCAGGCACCGTGGAAATCCCCGTCGGCGGCGGCGCGGCCGGGGTGGCCGCGGGCTGCGAATACGCGCGTACACGCACACACACACGCACAACCGTACACACACACACACACACACGCTCGCACGCACGCACGCACACACGCACACAGACGCGCGCGCACATACGCGATCGCAAACGTACTGGCACATACGCACTCACACAGACACGTGGCCGCCGTCGGAGGGCGGTGGAGGCGGTGGCGGTGACGGCGAAAGGGGGGACGCGCGCGCTCACCGTGCGGCCGACGTCCCTTTATATAAAGAGCCGGAGCGCCGATACGGGGTTGTCTTTTCATACGCATCCGAGTGCTCGTGTAACACGCGCTCTTATCCGCCGGTCGACGTAAACATACTTGTAATTGTTTCGGGTTCTCCGCCGCACGCATAGCGACAAATAGAGGATTCACTTTCCGACTCAACACGGTTTCAAATCTTTTTTCGATTTCCGACAAAGTCCGAGAAGTCCAAAGCCGGACGTCCGATATACGCACACTCGATTGATTGTATCGCGTCCGTGTGTCTGTTGTCGATTTCGAGAGGAACACAGGTAGCCCGTTCAGCACGTATTCTGCAGCTACATTGTCACTCTCGCTCGTCGCCAGAGTTTTCAAACCACACAAACGAAACTAGACAAGTTGTCGACCCGCGAAGCGCGAAAAACATTGCCGTTTTCCCGCTCTTACTTTGACTCGCCGTAAACCCTTCCGTTTACGCCGCCACCACCGCCCCTCGCGTTCATTCACGTATCTTTTTACGCGCACCGCGACTTCTACACGAAGATCATCTAAACTGGAGTTTGGAGCTTACGGTCTTTTGCTGCACACTTTTGGGAAAGTCAACGTCGTAAAACCGCAAACGAAAAACAACATAATGGCAGTCGCAGCAGCACAAAAGAGCCGAGAGATGTTCGCCATCAACAAGTCTTACAGCATCGAGGTAATAAATGCCGTTTCACGGTTTATTTTTATGTACTTCAGTTTTATTTCTCTATACTTATTCGTCTACTTCCTACCCCCGATCGGAACACTGATCCAACAGGTTTCCGCATTTCCGTGTACTCCATGTGAAATAAATACAATTATTCATTACTTTGGTGTGTGTCATGTAGCCAATATGCTCGTGATTTGTTCGCAATTATGGTTTTTAACTATCATAAAATATCCTCGAAAAACTTCGACATTATTTCAAAAACACGCCATCTCGATTATTTTTGATAAAAAAAGAAAAACGTTTAAAAAATCAAATAATACGACAATAAGCCATATACTACAGGTTTTATTAGTTGATTCCTGAACATTAGTCCTTGATAAATAAAACTAATAATACAAAATCCGATAACTATACAACCACTTAATTATCATATAGGTAAAAGAATTAAGAATAATTTATTGGCAGACAATTTGTTGAAAATAAGTAACTTAGCAACACCAATATTTACATATTTTAATTTTTTTGAAAATAAAAACACGTGATCCCCGACCAAATCATTAGACGGCGTTTTGTGTATGCAAACAATGTTCTTTATAGTCGTACACCGTTCGACACGTTGCGTTCCACCGTCCAAGTCACCGGATGTTTATCCAAAAACGTATATTACGTGATATTTCATTAAAATTGTTCAGTCTAGTATATTTTTCTGAAGGTTTCAATAATAATTAGAATATAAAACGTTTTTATTGTTCGTAGAATAATATTGAGAATGTATGCCAACATTCTCCGCGTGATAAAAACCTCTCCCTTTCAACCTTGTCGGTGAGATAGAGACCTTGGATATTTCCCATTTCCGGATAACACCATTTCGATCTACATCAATACATTTTTACTTCTTATATTTCTTTTATCGAAAATCGTTCTTAAAAGTTAGCCAAGCCAGTTGACCAATACACCATTTTTACACATACGAGTGCACAAAACACTATGATATATTTTATAAACTTCACATAATATCGAGCGTTAGGTACAGTGAAAAAAAAAAATAATAAACATATTTTTAACGTGCCCAATAAACGCATCATATACAACGTTATTATTACTTCCGCCGTTACCGTTAATTACAATGTATATCGTGCAATATTATACCACGTAGTACTTTCATTTTAACCCAACATAATTATTCAGTTTCATTTTTTTCCTATTTTCAAATATGAAATTTTCATTCGATAATTGATGTATCTTAGTCATAAATTGAAGTAATTGGTCCGAGCTATATCCCGCTGCGGATTCACAAGGGGAAACGATTCATAATAACATAGTATCAATGTCCTTCCGCACGATAACATCCAACCGGTAACGGGACGCCCTTGTTTCGCCTACGATAATAGTGCATCAGCTAGGTCAAGGCAAACCGGATAGATTTAACAATATTATTTATAATATATATATATATATATATATATATATGTATACTATTATTATATAATCTCTCGGTAATCGGCGATTTTAAAGTCACTGAAAAAATTAGAAACAATTAAAATAAACAACCATGCATTTCAGCTAATTATATTGAGTCGGTTTTAATTCATTTTTTTTATTTATTTATTTTTTAACTTTGTTTTATTTATAAAAATGATTTTTATTACAACGAAAAGTACTGCGTCATTGACCTAAAACCTTTTGTTTTTTCTCTTGTTCTTCTCTAAAAAGACAAGGGCGAGTAATAGCTTGGTGAAAATCAAGATATTGCTGCGCATAAAGTTTCAAGGCCGCGCAATGGCCTTTTACGAGCTTAAACGTCAACTTTTACCCGCATAACTTGGCTCAGCTAATTTACAGCTATTATACATTTTCCAGAGGTTAACATTCGATTTAGAAAACTATCAAGTTTCTAATTCTAACAGAAAAAAAATCATAAATATACAGAAAGGAAAGTCCTATAAGCCGTGTAAAATGACGTGTGTCAAGAATAACAATTTTTCCGGATTTACCCTCTATAGACTATTTTATATTTTCACTTTATATGTTTTTTATACGCTCCATTATACGTGACCAAAAGGAATTGCGGACAGTAATATGCTTTTTTATATTTTCATTGCGCCAAATCAAAAAAAAAAAAAAAATAACTATTTACGTATTTTTATACACGACAATAGCGCAAAATAATAACGCCAAACTTTTTCAACCTCAGGTCAACATGGGTCGGTAACTACGTCTCTGTATATAAATATTTCTTCTTCTCTCTCTCTCTCTCTCTCTCTCTCTCTCTCTCTCTCTTTCTGTCTGTGTATGTTTAGCGTTTTTGACACGGTTTTCGAATTAAAATCTGACACCGAGTAGGTAATTATTATTAACCCACGTCATCAGATATGTCAACTACACATCACGCCGTGTGTTCATACTATTGTTATTGAGTTCTCGTACTCGATTGTCTACGCGATTTTTTCCTATTTTTAGTTTTTTTTTTCTCTATCATAAAACAACAAATATTTAAAAAAAAAAAAAAAAACTACTCCTGGGAACGTTTCAAGGCGATTTCATAACAAAACGATAACGGTGTATATTATGATTAAACGCGAACATAACATTTGAACGGGAAAAAAATAAATACAATTAGTAGTGAAAACCCGTTAAGAGAATATTGCACATCATTGTTTGCCTCGTGTTTTTACACGCCTAATCGCGGCACGTTTTTACAAGAGCTATTCGCCAACCGAATTTTAACGAATCGAATTGACGAATATGATTTCAGAACGGATACCCAGCGAGGAGACGTTCGCTCGTGGACGACGCGAGATTCGAGACCATCGTCGTGAAACAAACGAAGCAGTCGGTGCTGGAAGAAGCCCGTCAATTGGCGAACGGTAAGTGATAGTCGGCGGCGCAGGGGGGGGGAAGACGAGAAATCGAAGGAAAAACCTGTAATAAAACGATCGTAGGTCTCCGGGTTTTACCCCGGAAAAAAAAAAAAAAAAAACACGTAACATTCCGTCCCCGCGCGCGTTTCCGATTTCCGTCGGCCGACGGAACGGGTTGGCCGGCGGCGGCGGCGGACGGTACTTGTTGACGGCCGTCAAAACACCGGTGTTTCCGATTTTCAAGACCGGCAACGGGCCCGCGTCGGTTGCCGAACGTTCGTGTTCGTTGCGAACACGGCAATTAACGTGTTGACACATCGTCGTCGTCATTATTGACACGAACGCGGATCGCACAATTAAAAACGGATTGTTGTTGACATTGTCAAACGATCACCTCGAGACGCGTTTTGATCCGTCCTGTTGAAATCGGAAACGCGCGGCGGAACGGTCCCCATAACGGCGTTGTTGACGTACGGTTCCACGTAAGTCGGACACACACATCCGTCGGTTCGCGGTGCGCTCCGCTGCTCGTCTTCGTTACGTTTTCGTTTGTTCGATTTTTTTCTTTTATTTTCTTTTTTTTTTTCCTCTCTTAAATTTCTATTTTTTTTTTCTGGAATTTCTATTTTTTATTATTTTTTTTCCCCGACGCCCCCGTCCGTTGTTTTATCGTTTCCACGATCGATATTCGTATTGTTTCTCGTCATGCACGTGTCGGACAACAAAATCACTACTTCCATGTGTTGTTTGTGGCTATTAGACACTTCTTTAGCTACCGACGCGGCTGTAGTGCATTACGCGAACCAACTTCAGCGTCAGCACCAAGCTCAAAGTAAGTGAACGTCTCGTTTCGCGTTTGGTTTTTTTCGTTTTTTTTCCCCCCGAAATCATTTATTTTGGATTTTAAACGTGTGATCGTTTCGAATCGAAAAAGTATTTTGATTCATTGTATTTTAGTATCGCATTCGAATAGTAATTGTTTATAGTTGATAATAATAAACTAATTTAGTAACCATTTTTCACTCCATCAAATGGTTATATAATTTTAGCCTTAGGTATAACAACTGACTAGTTATTTTACAATTACATTATAATGACAAATGACAATAGATAAGTAACAATAATAAAAACAGTTTTAAATAGCTTTTCAACAGTGACATATCTAGTCGGTTTTTATTTTAATCTAAAATTTAGAATCAATAATTACTAATTTGAGTGTAAATAACCATTGTAAATACAATGGGGAATAGCGATCGGACCCACCAGATTAATGCACTTTTTAAAAATATGGGTGATTATAATTCAACTGTATTATACACATTTAATCGTACTGAGTCAGAAACATTTAATTTTAATTTCAGTGTTTTTAATATAGTTATTTACTTAGCATGGCATTTTATTTATTTTTTTTTATTTTTATTATTATTATTTTATTAGTTAACGATCAATACGATGATCAAGGTTTCGAATCCGAAGAAAAACCTATTGGACACGAAAATGGTAATTTATTTGATGGCACGCTTTTTGCTTATGTTTTTTGATTGCTATGATTTATTTATTATTTTTGTTTGGCTTATTTTTATTAGAAGTAGAATCATCTGAATCTTCTGAACCATCGTCGTCCGATAATGATGACTCAGGTAAATATAAAAAATTGTTATTATTATTCATATTTATTCTAATAATAATAATAATAATAGATACTCATACTAATTATTTATGAAGCCCGAAATATTGTTCCATCTAAAAAAAAAATTAAATTATTATCTATTTTTTAAAATTATGAATTAACTTTTAGAATACGTTACTGTTTACAATTTTTTTTTTTCTAAACAAACAATTTGGATATTATTATGATAAGATATATAGTATTTTTTACAGTTGTTTCTTTGATATTTCGTTATAATTATTCAATTATTGATTATATTATATTTTTACTTTCTTATTTTACTTCGATCCTATCGATTCCTTACCCCGTTACATTTTCCATTTATATTCAGAATCACTGAAAATCGTGAGATTTTTGTCAATTTTTCTTTGACACGCCAAAACGTTTATATATACTGATGAAATAAGTACCGATTACACAGTCGAGTGGGCAGCAAAAGAACCGGAACGCCACTTTTCCATTGAGGAAATTGCGTGGTCTGCCGCCCACTCGCCTACCCTTATGGTTCCGGAATTCTATTATGGCATTTCCGCCACAGAGAGCTTTTAATTACATTGCCATCGGGCGTTTGTGCTTACAGATGCTGGACTTACAGAGGAAGAGGTCCTTTTGGAGAAAGCGGCCAGCCAAGACAAAGATGCCGAGATGGCCGTTCAAAGGGCCACCTTAGTATTGCGTCTGCGCGAAGGTATTAATTCCCTCGCCCGAGTATTGAAAGTAATTGAGGTGCGTAAAATAAGACACAATATAAATTTAAAGTTTAATTGACATTCAATAATACATGTCCTCGCCAATTTACTAACGACTGCATTGCATATATATTGTACAGAACGGTAAAGGCAATGTAGTCCATTTGGAATCAAGACCGTCTAAGGAACAAGGTGTTCAATTCGACGTTTTGGCCAAAGTGGATATGACAAGGAAAGATCTTTTAGCTTTAATGAAGATTCTTAGACAAAGTTCTACGTTGGCAAGTATTACGATTCTCGCCGAAGACAACATCAATGTTAAGAACCCGTGGTTCCCAAGACACGCCCGTGACTTGGACAACTGCAATCACCTGGTGACCAAATACGAACCGGAATTGGACATGAACCATCCTGGATTCGCGGACAAAGTCTACCGTTCACGCAGGAAGGAGATTGCAGCTATTGCTTTTGAATACAAATAGTGAGTTATTATTATTATTATTATTTTTTTTTATCCCTACAATACTTAACGTTATCATTTTTTTTCTAAAGTGGTGACTCAATCCCATACATTGATTACACTGCCGACGAAGTTGGCACGTGGACCGCAGTTTTCAACAACGTGTTGGACTTAATGCCCAAACATTTCTGCATGGAATACAGAAACGCTTTCAAGATGCTGCAAGACGAAAAAATCTTCACTGAAGATAAGATCCCGCAATTAAGCGAAATGTCTGATTTCTTAAAGAAGCACACCGGTTTCACTCTTCGACCAGCAGCTGGTTTGTTGACAGCCCGTGACTTCCTTGCCAGTCTTGCATTCCGAGTATTCCAAAGCACACAATACATTCGTCATAGTAATTCTCCATTCCACACACCAGAACCGTAAGTATCTCTTAGTACTTATACTTTATCATTTGCTAATTCTAATAACTATGCAATTAGGTAGTATTATATATTGATAGGCAATAAGCTCTGTTATAAGTATATTATACTTAATTAATTAAGCATTTATTATTAAATTTAATTATCTTGGTTCATAATATGAATATATATATATGTATATATTATATTTTTGAACGTTTAAGTATTTTTATTTCACCAACAATGGAATAATTCAATTTAAAATAATATTAAAGAAATGAACAATAGCTCTATTGATAACAATTGACAGGCAAGCTTTATAGTCAAATTATAATACATACGTATCCCGGGGCCGCTCGTAATAAGCATTAACATTCATTTGTTGTTTGGTTAATATAGAACTTCTGATACACTATTACATAAGAAGGCCATTTTCCTTTTAAACACATCTCGACCATTAGTCAAATTAATACTATTTAATTACCAATTTCAAAGTCGATTACAGCGATGTGTACATATCGTTATTAATACTCGTATTAATATGATATCAGACAATACACTTTACAAAGATATAATAAAGATAAGTTTACCCATATTCTAATGTTAAATCAGTCTAATCATCACACAAACACATAAAGATGTAAATTAATCTAAATCAAAAAATGAAAGAAAATAAAATGTATATATGAAATCTACCTACTTTAATATAGTTACGTATAGTATCGAATTACGGGTAAATTCTCTTTGAAACAAATTGAATAATAAAGTCGACAAGCCGATTACCGTTATAGAGACAATTTCCGTTGGCGCTTCAATATTGCACTTATGTAAGGGAAAAATAAATCTTTTGTTCGAAAATGCTAAAATCCATTATACTGCGATGATAAAGTGGCCTGTGATTCAATTAAGAAACTATTTCAAAATTGCTTTTATAGATCTAACGGCAGATGGTTATGCAATATTTAAGTTATCTTTAATTCGATTAGATGAAAGAAATCGTCTTAATAAAATGCTGTATAGTTAATAACCATTAAATTCGGTTATGTATACAAATTCTATTCAGATTTACAAAATGTATCCAGTGAATTTACAATAAAAACAATTAGAACTTTATGATGAATGAATAAATAAATCATTTTGAACGTTGTAAGGGAAAAATTAAATGCATTTTTTTATCATTTTTACAGGGACTATATCCACGAAGTTCTTGGACACATGCCTTTATTGGCTGACCCAAGTTTTGCTCAGTTCTCTCAAGAACTCGGTTTGGCATCACTCGGGGCATCCGATGAAGAAATTGAAAAACTGTCTACTGTTAGTTTTACAATCAGTTTTTATTGAATTCAATATTGTAGATGGTTTACTCATGTTATTTTTGTGCATTCAGGTGTACTGGTTCACAATCGAATTTGGCCTCTGCAAGGAACACGGAGAAGTGAAGGCTTACGGCGCTGGACTTCTATCCGCTTACGGTGAACTTTTACACGCCGTTTCAGGCAAACCCGAACTTCGACCATTTGAGCCATCCATCACAGCAGTACAACCATACCAAGATCAAGAATACCAACCAATCTATTTCGTAGCTGAAAGTTTCGAAGACGCTAAAGACAAATTCAGGTACAAAAGAAATGTTTAAGAAATTAATTTGATGTAAATTTGTTTAATGTTATCACGCTAAAAATAATGAACTATAATATCTAATCCGTTCGATTGAAATAGCATAAGGTTGATATTAAAATATGTAAATTCGATAAAATTATTAGTATTTAAAAATGTGTTTAATTATAGTATATATTGATATTTACAGGAAATGGGTGTCATCTATGTCACGACCATTTGAAGTCCGTTACAACCCACACACCCAAAGAGCAGAAATCTTAGACTCAGTTGAACAACTCAACAATCTAATGACACAATTAAATTTGGAAATGTTGCACCTAAACACTGCACTGAACAAGTTAAAGATGAGATCCGGTTAAAACGACTAAATTCTCCCGAACGCATACAAATATATTTACCATTTTATTATTACATTTTTTCTGAAAAAAAAAATGTAATACTTATCTATAACCTATATATTTATTTACTTATAATTTATATATATATATATATATATATCTATATAGTTTATAATATTGTATGTCTTCGGCGTGTTTCTAGTCACCGGTGACGATGGGACAACTTTTTGTTTTTTCTACCGGCAAGATCTCTCGGAAAATAATATTTTTATTTTTATTTATTACATTTGCTCATGCTTCATAAATTAAAATAAATACCGCACATCCATAATCCCTAGTTATGCGTGCGTGTATAATATATCATATCTAAAGTATTTACAAATTGTAGTTGCATTTCAGAAATATTGTAAACTTTTAATCTTTACAGCAACATAATTTGGCAATTTGAAATCATCTCTTCCTAATAATGTTTATTTAGCAATAAACCAAACTTATTGTTTAAACTACTTTTTATAGTTTATGATATCTATAAATATGTATTTTCTTATTTATTTCTATTTAAAATATTATTAATATATATTTTGACACTCTTCGTGTCCTAGGCGTAGAATCGTAATTTTTTTTTTTTTTTGTTTAATATAGAACCGAGTTTATGTTTCTTCGATGTATTCTATAGGTATTATAATATGTAGAAGATTATTTTATGTTAGTATTAGTTTTCAAGTATTTACTTTTATTTTTTTAGTCGAATTTATAAAACTATTTAGCTTTAAAAGCTTTTTAGTATTATTGTGAAACTACAAAAAATAAAGAAAAAAACTTTATTATCAATTCACTTATCTATCAAGATAAGTAGAAAACTGTTCATAAAAAAAAATCAAATATTATATAATAATAAACTTATATTCAAACAAACTCATTGTGTTTATTTATTTATTTTCTAATTTACAATACAATACAAAACTCTTCGAACAATACAGGAAAAACAAATAGCATCGAACTTGCATGGAATATATCTTACATGTTTGGTTAACCAAATATGTTAAAAGTATAACTATGTATTGACATAACTATATGAACTGGTTGCAAACCTTATTATAAATATTTAAATTTAAATTAAATATCTGACTTTTGAAAGTCTTAATAACACTATTTCTATAGTTAGAAACCATTTTAATAATGAAAAATACAACTTTTTTTTATTATTAAATTATAAATATACAAATCCATTTGAAGGTTGTCTAAAATATTTTATTTGAACAATCGCCAGGTTATATTATATTTCATTATTTTTTTCAGTAAGATAATATCACATTAACCACAGCTATAAATACAAAAGAAAATATTTTCTACCGTCTGAATACAATTGCACCGATACAGATGTCGATTGTAATTCATAATTGTTATTGCACGTTTGTTAATAAACGTACCATCCAAATATATATTCAAAAAAATTAAAAATATTGTCATTAAAATACTAAATAATAATGACGGTGCACAATTTTACCATTATGGAAATCTGCATTATACAGGTGCACCGTTCACCGTTAGCTCAATTGAAAATTGAACAAATGCAATTGATAATTATCCTCCAATGCATTTTGGTTAATGTACTGTAATATAACAAAAATTAATAGCAAATCAATACATCACAAGACTTAATTGTAAAACATATCAAAGAGTAATTACTACTTAATAGATAAAAATAAATAAACTAAATACTACTTGTGAAAATAAACAAATTATTTTCTGCTTAGAAAATTACAAACAAATATAAAGTTATGATTCGTTCGAATTTTACAGGTAAATAAATATCATAGGTTCTTTTAAAAAAATTTCAGGAATTTCAAAGATTGAATCTCATTTCTATGCATGGCGTTTAAAAAAGCACTAATTGTCGGAAAAGAATAATTTAAGACTAGTATAACTTATCATAGATTCAGAAAAACATTCACGTTATGGTCTTAATATAGTTATTAAAAAGTATTAATATTTATTTCATATACTTTCGTAACTTTGTGTAAACCATTTAAACAACTGTATACTAAATTTTAATGTACTATTTCAAGTACAATATAAAACCAATACCACATTTCTTTTACGGTTGCCAATTTTATAAGTAGGAATTAGTGGGAAAAATAATATTTTACCTAGATTCTGTGTGGGTTAATTATAAAGAGAAATTTTAGTTATGAATGGAAGTATAGTTTTTTATTTTATAAAAATTTTAAATTTACTATATGAAATTATGATAAAAAATATTATTATTGATGATCGTTCACTTGCAAATATTTATTTTAAAATTCAAGTTGTACTCATAATATGACAATATATTTAATTGCTAAATCATTGCAAACGACATTTAGAAGATAATGGCAACGGAATAAACGCTAAAAAAATATTTTATTGTTATCAAAAGAGAAAAAATATTATTCGTTTTGTTCTCCAGCAATTATTATTTACTAATAATTATTATTAAAAAAATAATAATCATTATAGCAATATTAAGTGATAACTAATTAGTACAATAACATAATGGCTTTCATCACGTAATTTATCTTTGACAAATGTCACAGTAAGTTTTTTAGAGGCCATCTTTAGGTGTGAATCTAAACATAGCAAAAATTAAATATATTTAAATTTTTTTTCAGCTATGTATATATTGCATCATATAAATTTCTTAATTTTCATCTAATTGTTATATTGGAAAAAAAATTTGGGTGAATGGTGAAGGGCTCCTTGATGCACGATCTCATAATATTTTTTAAATACCTTGACGCCACTTCAATAACATAAATACAATTTATATTTACAATTTTTCATTTTAAAGCACACCATAAATAGGATGCTTTAAAACCAAATTTTATTTTTAACTTATTAAAAAATGCGCATAAATATCATATGAGAGCAAAAGTGAATTGACATCGCGTTCACCGTGGTATGCCTTTGAAATGGATTTATACTGCAGTATACATGTTTTTAATTCAGCTCACGTGCATAATGACCCGTTGACAGGACTAGCCAGAAAAAATTGAGTGAATCTTAGTATTGCGGAATTCACTCGATGTGGTGATCATCTAGAGCTAGAGCAGAAAACTTCCAGCATTTACACGCTTGCTATGTGTGAGAGTAAAAAAAAAGGTTTGCAAGAAAAAATTGGTTTATGATTATATTAAAACTCATAATCGTAGCTATGTTATTTATAGTTTTACTTTTTAGGATTTTTTAACCTTAGAGCCGTATTCATTATTTATACACCTTTTAAAAACTATAATTCATCAAAGTATTTTTTTTTTTTTAAACCAAATAAAGATTTAAAATATTATACTTAATTTTTTTAAATATATAATAAATTAATGAAAAATAAAATTAAAATTATTAAATGATTTATACTCGTATCTTAATATATAATATTAGAACTAGTTGTTTATATATTTTTAAATATGGTTATAAAATTACAATCCATACGATAATTTTATTGTAATGCCGTCTATCGAATTCGTATAAGTGCCGTTAGAATAGTCAGGGGTGGGGAGGGCATCATAGCTGGAAAAAGAAATTGAAGTTGGTAATCGAACTTAGGATGAATACATAATTGATACTAAGATTATTATGTACCATAAATCACATAATATGTGCATAGACGTTGAAAAACATGGTATGATTCAAACGGAATACATTAACTTTATATGCTAAACGGTATATTTTCATGATACACCACGGTATCCAGCGTATTTCCTGTTATACCCCGTTACGTTTAAGTACGATGTCCACGGTAATCGTTAGAAATCGCAGCAATGCCGTGTTGCAAATATCGATGTTGTCAAACGTTGCCGAACGTCTGACCGCCAGCACTGCGTGGACTCTTCTCGTACATCCGTTCTGCACACATTACGAGCGCTCTGTATACAAGTACAGTTATGCGCGTGTTGCGCTGATCTACATGCCGCGTGTTCTAAATGCCATAGGTTTTTTTTTTTTATTATTGTTTTCTATTATTGTTCCAGAAAAAAAAAAAAACCGGACGACTTCCGAGGCCGGCGGGTTAGAGTGCGAAGTGAGAGCGGAGAAAAAATTGAAACGCCACCGTGCTGCAGTGCGCGCGCGTGTGCTCCGTACGGACGACGAGAAGAAAAGAAGAAAAAACGTTCGTTGCACCCACGTGCCGTTGGGGGACCGCAGCGTTAAAATAAAATCACAGCGCCGCTGCAGCGGTTAAACGTACCGGACGGAGAGGTCTGCGTTTTTATTTTTAGACCGGTCGCGCGCGCACGCGGCACGGCACAGCCGTAGAGATCGCGCGCGCCCGGTCCGTCTTATTATTATTATCATCATCGGTGTTATGTGATTATTATTACAATATCGCTTGCGAACCGCATTCCGTGTCCGCTAACCGCGATCCTCTAGCGGCCGACGATTATTTTCGATCGCGTCACCGCGCGCTTCGGCGTACACAGTTGGCGGGCGCACGGTTCGCGCGTTCGATCCGTCGGTCGGATCGTCGATGAGGTTGGATCCGACGTCGCGGCGATCCCTGTTGAACGCGGGGACCGGAAGCGCGCGTGTCCCCGACCGCGACGACCGACGCGAAGCCGTCGTGGCGCGACCGCGTCCGGCGCACTCGTATCCCGGTAAGCGCGCGCGCGCCCGTGTTCCGTTCCGCGACCGCGTCATGTCGTCGAACCCGATCCGCGGGATCCGCAGGAAGAAATCGTCGCTGACCGAAGTGAAAATCGCCGTGCTAGGGGCTCCGGGCGTCGGCAAGAGCGGTGAGCCAACGCGTTTATAATTATAACAATAACAATAATATGATTACCCGCGTTACCGTTTGGCCGGCGGCGATTGTGCAGCCGAATCGTAACGTTATTGTTAAAATATTGCCCAAACAATCGTAACACACATACACGCCCGCGCGCGGGATTCAAACGGAAACCCGAACCACCTCCCGTCCCAACCACCGCAATCGTCCATGCCCTCCGAACCCATCGCGTGATTCGAATCGAATCCCTTCGAACTCGGGCCGCGATCTCGAAGAGGTTTACAATTGAATACGATACGCCTTGAGATGATCGGCCGAGAGCGAATAAATCACACTACCTATTATACCAACGTTTCCCAAACTCTTGTTTAGGCTGGCCCGGTAATTATTATTTTTCTCCTTCACCAAAATATTTTACATTTATCGTTGCGCAAAAAAGGCGAAATAAAACACATTTGTATGTCCACAACCAACGACGCTTGTCGCATGCACTTGTTACTATTATACCGTATTTATAGATACGGCGAATGCTATAGAGGCTTTGCATGAAGTCTAGTTGATAATCTCAATAATTAAATTATTTATGTCGTAAATATTAGTTATTTTTACTAAAAAGTTCGAATTATCAAATGAAATGATAAATAATAAATTTAATATGAGAATTTTATTGAATTCTGCGACTCGGTATTATATTTTCGTGGCCCGGTAGTGGGTCGCGACCCACTATTTGGGAAACGTTGTATTATACTGTATAATCTGTTCTACTGAAGTTTTTTTTTTTTTTTAAATACCGTTTCCATTTTCGTTATTATCGAAAAAAACCTATATTCTAAATCACCATATTGTTGTATCATAATCCGTAGGCCGTAGCGCAACCGTGAAATTTTAATATTACGTATATGACACCGTCTATTTATAAAACGTATTGTATCGTTGACATAGTAGCAGCGTGAAAATCGATTTTCTTTTACGCGAAACGTATCAAAATGCGCTTCGACAACGCTGATATGCACTCGTACGTTCATATTGTGTATTTGTTTGTGGATCACTCACGTTTTCTGAAGTCCAACCGACTGTCTATATACGTCTTGACCGTCTCAAATACTAGTACTCAAAAAAAGTTTGGTTCATATTTTGAATTTCACTAATGCATCAAAATAATGTATAAGGCATAATATGCAAATCGCATTGCGTACCACGCATCAATCAAAATAATTTATGGTAGATTCAGTGATACTGAAACCAAACAATTCAGGTAGGACATGTATTCGTAAAACGATGAAATCTGACTCACCATCATGGATTTGGATATCGAAAATCAAAAATTGTTGACAATCCATAAATAAATTCTTACATGAAGTCGACGAATGTGAAGAAATAATTTTTGAGCTGTTGATATTTCCTTTTTATAATACAGTTGTTACACAATCATAGTTTTAATAATTTTAAAAATGACATAGGATTAAATATGTATATTAAATACTGTAAACTCATACAAATTTATACAATCTTAAATATTATATATATTAATTCGATCAATATCAGCTGTGAGTTTAGATTATTTTCGCTATTTTAATTTAATTAATGTTTTTCATCAGTTCTAAATAATTGAAATTTACCTTCATCAGTAAATTTTACTCTTATTCATAACCTCATTAAAATAAGTTAACGTAGTTTTGTGTAGGTATTATAATTTTTTTTGTGAAATAATATAATTATATGGTTAGCGTTTAAAGTCCTAAAAAATTAGAAAAACACTTGTCGAACGAGTTTATATGCTCAAAATCTGAAAATAGGTGGAAATCGGAGGAGCTTGAGGGAACTAAGCCCCCCAGAAATGTAAAGTACAGGTCTTAGCCCCCTAACCCTACAAATTGTTAAGTGACTAAAAATACAATAATTATTATTACTGTAAAATGCATTTTTAATAACTGAATTAAAAAAAAAACATTCTGTGATAAAAATTAAATCAAATTCGAAATTCGTAAGATTTTACAAACTTATTGTTATGACTTGGAACGATCGTAATTAATATAATATTAATAATATATAATAATATCCGCATTGGTTGTTTAATTTAATTACTAAATAATTTCTGTTTAAAATCCTACTCCTAAAATTTTAAGATAAGGCACCTAATTGTTTTTTTGGTTAAATTGTTGAGTATGTCAAATTGTCAAACTTTGTAAATTGCCTTTTTGAAATAAATAATGACGTACACGGGTATCTATAGGTTAGTAATAAGCAAATAATGCTCAGCCCCTACACTAATTTTACTAAATTTCCGCTTATGAATCCGAATTTGTACGGTCAATGTGCTATTATATGCGATTATAAATATCCTCCAAGTTCCGATTATGTAGTGTTCTGTCACAATAATTACATGATTATGTGTCTGATTATGTTATTATAATAAGAGTATAATAACTCATTGACACGTGCTCTATATGTTTTGGACGTTGCATTTAAAATTTAAATTATTAGTGTTTTCCTTACTAATGGCGCGTATCCAAAATTCGTTCGAAAACTATTGAAATCGTTTACAGGTTCAACGATTTCATAGATTGTGAATTTTAAAAAGAGTACACGGCGCCCCTTAGTTTGGTCAATCGACTTGCTATAATCATACTTAATGAAGGTCATTAATGGATGTATAATTGTTCATTTTAAGTTTAAACGCAGTAATCATCGTATTAAAATAAATAAATTGGGAAATAAGCCTTAGTTCATCAAAAAATTGTATTTTATTCAATACCACAGTATTCATACAAAAGCATCAATCAGCAAATAATTTTTCATGATTTTTTTGAATGCTTGGTAAATCCAAAAAGTGAGATTTTTCATATTTTTTCTTATTTTGCCATGTTTGCTTTGAAACCTACAAAAAAATGATGTGAACCTGTTTAAAATTTCTTATTAACAAAAATAATTTTAGTTTTTATTTTATTATAATTTTTTTAAAATAATAACTCTTGAATTTTATTTTTGTCTTTGAAAACTAAATAATATGGGATCATTTGTAGAATATCAAATATAGGAAGTCTGCATTTTGTATTTTTTCTGAAGAAAACTCGTTAATAGAAGAAGAAGAAGAAGAAAATATGTATAATCAATTGAAATTAGTTAAAAACTGATTTTATACATTACAATATATTACGTAACATATAATTTAATTTATAATTCGCTGTACATATTAAATTACGGTTCATTATGTTTATGTTACTATATATGCGTGTAACTAAAATAAACTCGTTTTTTTTTTTATTGTTTTTAGCATTGACTGTGCGGTTTTTAACAAAGAGATATATTGGAGAATATGACCACCAAGCTGGTAAGTCTATATGAAAATATAACATTAATGCAAAAATAGAATTACAACCTAGAAAATTCATGGTTAAATTGTACGCCGAAAAAACTTTTAATATTACACATAACAAATTACTCAGTATAAAGTACTCGGTTAAAATTAAATTATCTGAAACTTATACATTTTGTTATTTTCTATTTTGCAATAAATATATAGACGTATGATACTTGCTACGTATTGAAGCGTACGTTTTGTAAAAATGGACAAAGTTAAAAATAAATTTGAAGGCTAAACAATCGATAAGATTACATGTATAACACACCATGAACGAGGAATATTAATTACAGGCCGTATTGACTTAAATGTTTGGCCTGGGTGCGCAATGTTTAAGACTTAATAGTCACGACTTCTGGTATGAAAAATGTATGAAAAACAATTAAATAGAAACTTTATAAGGCAAAATGTAGGTCAATAAACATACATTATATAATGTATATTATGTTGAAATATAATCGAACACAAATCGATAGTGAATTCCCAATTAATAATACATTAATGTTACATACTAACTGTTAAAATTTGGTTTACAGAAACAAGATACAAGCATGAAGTGATGGTCGATGGCGAACCGATTCTTTTCGAGGTACTAGACACATGTCCAAAAGTACGTACATAGGTAAAACTATAATAAATCAAATCATACACATTAATTCGTATATTTATTATCTGTACAATAATAAAATATCATAATTTAATTGACGAGGAAATTAACTTGATGAGGTTATAAGCAAGAAATCACACAGCTGTGAAATCAGAATTGGTTTGAGGGATTGAAACTATAAGGGCCTGTTTTACAATAGCAGTGGTAAACTCGAGTTTAGCTGAACCTCGGTTATCAACTAACTCCTAAGTTAACTTATTGCCAGTATTTCAATCGTCGATTTGGTTCAGTTCAGTTAAACTGTGGTTAAAATATTTATTTTTGTAATACTTTTGGTATCTCTGTAAAATTAATGGATAAGCTATGTAATCTGGTGTTTTGATGTGATAACTTATAATTTATCATCACTGAATAATTAATAATATTAATAATTTTTTCAAACAACAAGTTGTTAACAGTAATAGTTTCCATTATTATTAAAATGATTATAACGTTGCAAATTAAATTGTGTAATTATGTTCATAACATAAAAACACAAAAAAATTAAATTTTCTAATAAACATTGAAGAGTAAACACAGTGTATCTTGTTTATCATAATACTACTGTTTGTTATCGACATTAATTAACAACCAATGAAATTGCAGATCAATTTTTAAACCAAGTTTAACTCGCCGATATCAGTGGTTTAACAATCAGTTGTTTAACTTTGGTTTAAACCATTGATAATCGATTGTAATACGGTCTTTTAAATTTAAACCAGGTTTAAACTTCGATAAGAGTTTAAACTACTATTTTAAAACAGGCCCTAAAAGTTCTTTCGACCATTTCAAACCACACAACAAACATATAGTAATAAAAATCATTTTTTATTTAAAAAAAATAGGATATACGTATTGATGCATTTATATAATAATAATATCAACTATTATCATTATTATATTACACTGATCGCCCAAAAACATACCCCAAAAATATATTGCATACAGAAAAAAAGAATACACAAAATGAAACGCCAATACGTATACTTCTTATGTTGGGACCATTATAATTGATTTGAAATTTAAGTGATTGTATTAAATCAAGTAGTTTTTTATTAGAATATTTTGAGACTAGATCTTGTATAGATTTTTAATGTTTTTATGGGTACTTTTAAAACTTTATATTTTTAATGCATTAATATTTAAAATATTATGACGCTAAACAATTACGAGCAATAGTCAAAACTCCAAAATTCTTTTGCACTTATAAAAATATAAATATATATTTATATTACTTTAACTAGTAATTAGTGTATATTATATTTTAAAACCTACACAAATATAAAAAAATAGATTTTGGAATTTAATATTAATTTATATACACTTATTTTGTTTTAGAATGATGAAGAGATGCCATTGACCGACGTTTACAATTGGGCAGACGCGCTCGTGTTGGTGTTTGCTATAACGGACAGACGTTCGTTTAACTATGTGAGACGTGTAAAACAGACCATGTTGGACAATTTTGAAATGCCAGTGGCGTTAGTGGCCAACAAAGCTGATATGGTCCATCTTAGACAAGTCAGCACAGAAGAAGGTACTAGGTAGTTAGAAAACCACTGATTAAAACAAATAATGTTCAAATATAAATATAAATAGTTTATACAAATAAATAAATAAATACTTAGCCTGAACTATTATTAAATTTGTAATGTGCAACGGATTTCGAATTAAAAAAAATATCATCAGGTTATACAAAGTCAATAAAATCACGATACATGTTTCTATATTGCGACTTTAAGTGTCGTAATTTTATTGATTTTATATACATCTGATGTTGATTCGAAACCGCTCGTATATTACGAATATGATAATACTCCAAGCTAAGCATTTATTTATATTTACGTATAAACTATTTATTTATATATTCATTTACGAGTATTAACAAATTACTAATTTTTTTGTAATTTAATTATTTTATTGATTTTTTTTTTTTTTTTTTTGAATATTGTAAATTAGTAATGCTAATAGTATTAATCATTTATATAAACTAAATTAAATAATATATATTATAAATATAAGAGTGTACATAGTAATTTGTTGTGTTAAAATATTTGAAATTTAACCGAGCAATTTTAATTGGATTCTTGTCTACCAAAACACTTATCTCATTTTCTCGCTCACTCTCTCTTCTCTCTGAATATATATATAACTTGCGGAGTATTGTCAGTTATTACTAGAGTTAAAATGTTGATGACCTAAAAAACACACAAAAATGCCTTAAAGAAAGTGCAAAAATGCACTAAATACTTCAAAAAATTACCTTAAAAATTATCTAAAAAATTGATTAAATGAAAAAAATGTATTTATAATAAAAATTTTATTAAAGATATAGGTGTGATAATGGGTGTAATAGTAGTTTAAAGTATGAATTATATCTACATTATAATGTTAATAAATAATAGTGTACCTTTACATTTTAAACCTTACATACAAGTATAAACACTTGCTCTAAAATCTAAAATTTGAGATAAATGCCCTACGTTGTACAAAAACTACAAAAAAATGACTTAAAAGTGTTGAAAAATTACGAATTAAAAAAAAAAAAAAAAAATGCATTTAGAGCTAAAAATGCGAAAAAATGGAAAATAAAATTAGAATGTTCTGCATCGAGGGAGCACGAAACAAATGTTTAGCTAGGATAGCATTGTATAGAATCGGAGGGGAAAAAAGTGCAAAAGTCATCAACATCCCAACCATAGTTGTTACTGATCAACTGTCTGCAATACTTACCTGCTCATCGTGATGTTATCATTTTTCCGTAATTTATTAGCGCGTTTTTCCGTACGCGAATCGATCGCCGTGCAATGTGTTGCAATAGCCTTCTACGAAATTCACATTTTAACTGACAAACCGAATCGTTCGATACGCAGACCGTGGACGTTCGCGAGAACTCGTCGTGAGTTTTGTTCGGTCGTTTCAAAGCGGGAAAATCGAACGGATTTGCGCGGCACGCCGTCGACTAAAACCGTTACGTTGTTTGCAGGTGAAATACTAGCAAAAGATTTCGAATGCTGTTTCACGGAAGTAGCGGCGGCGGAACAAGTGGGACAGGTGGCCGAGGTGTTCCTGGAAGTGTGCAGAGAAGTGTTGAGCGTCCGGCGGAAAAACAAACAATCGCTGCTGGACAGGATGTTGGGCGGCAAGACGGCCGCGGTGAAGGCGTACGCTCGGGGCAAAAGCGACAGCGCCTTGCCGAAGGAATGACACCGCCAACGGTCCACGGTCGTGTCCGCGCCCCATCGGAACGCGTGTGACGTGTATATAAAAAAAAGAAAAAAATTAGCGTAATCAGTGCTGGTCGTGTAGGGTTAGGAGAGTTCTGCGCAATCGACCGCGGCGGGATGCACGCGGACCAACCGCGTACGTAGGTACTTACTTCTGGCTGTGGGGGGGGGGACTCAAATTTTTTTCTTTGATTCGGGCTCAAAATTTACAAGTAAAAATGTTTGGTAATATTTGAATCAGGTGAATCCTTAATGTTTGTGGTTTTTTTTTCAATCTAAAGCCGGATCCACTTCTACGGAATCGACTTTCGTGCAGTTATACTTTAACACCCGTCTGTGTTTTGAAAGTTACGCTTCTGTTTTATTTGATTTTTCACCGAGTACGGACCCGACAAAAATCCCGATTCAGTATTCACAGCCACGTGTAATTTGATTTCGTTATAAAATGATCCACATTAAGAAAATTTGAAATGTATAACTCACGTATAATCAAATCCTTAAATACAGATTCAGGGGGACGACCGTCCCTTCGCCCCCCCCCCAAAAAAAAAAAGACGCCCATAAAATGTACACTGCACATGTCACATCATACGAATAACGTAAACAATTTAGTTCACCAATTAGGTATTTGTCGATAACGAACCGCATGTCTGTCACGTTATAGATGCGCGACCGTGTCAAGTACGTCTGTTTTTATTATTATTTGTTTCAAACACAATACAGTTTCAATGAATTTCAATTTTTTTTTTTTCTTGCTTGCGATATTCGAGCATTTGTTTTTAAACCATTTTAATATTACATTTAATCGTACCGAAATCAATCGGTTCGATTTAAGTTTAACAATAGTATTGAGAACGAAGCATACCACCTGACACGTGATGATTATGAGATATTACAGGTTTAATTAAAATTTCAGTTTTCTTTCTCCAACGAACGCACCTATGTTGTATTATTTTCAATTTAAAATTTAAAAAAAAAAATTATAATGTTCTCTTTATTTGTTAATTTTTACTGTAAGTCCACGAAATAAAATAATATTATATACTTTACATAGTGACAGTAGTATATACCGTTTCCATGATTGTATTAAAACTATCAATCATAGAACGGGTGATGTAGGTAGGTACAGTTCTATTATATATATTTATCATTTTATTTTAGTTACTTGTTACAACTTTTAAGTAATTGTAAATTTCCCAATTATGTTTATACGTCGATTATTACGATGATTCGTAAATCGTACGTTTCTATAGTTATTCATAGATTGTACTTATAATATTTTTAATTTATAACCAAAACTATATTATATGATACTATACATTAAGCGTAAATTGTTTATTTATGATTTATTGTAATATATAAGAATTTGTACAAAATTATTTTTGTAAAAGTAAGTTTTTTACATTAATATTGTATGTAATTCAATTATATGAAAAAATACAGGAAAATATTTATATGTAACCATAGGCGTGATATTTAATTATTTTATAATTAATTACAAGGATATCCGCACTTTATATTGGGACTGTTAAAAAGTACTGTAACGGGGATCCACTTTTCATTTTAACCTTTTCATTTTTTAATGGTTTAAGTATGATAATTTTGTAACTTACTTAAAATAATTTAAAAATTTTAAATAAATTAAATTAACTTTATATAATTACTCTATTTTGATTATTAACTTATAATATGTTTCTAACAATGTTTCTACAATGTATGTATTGTGCTCTGGTTTTACTTTTATTTTTGCCTCTAGGTCATTTGAAAGTTATTGATCACGTGATCAATTTAAACTTACCAATAAATAATAATGCGATGTATATACTTGCTCATTAAAAACTACTTGTTTAAGAATATATAAAAATGCGCATTAAAAACTACTTGTGATAATTACTAATTGAATATTGAAACTTTTTGATTTGATGATGTCGATACTTCTCGGTAGACTGCATTAAAACTAAGTGGGTGCTTTAATAAGAAATGTATAATCTCCGCTATCCTGTTTCATTCAAGTTTTTTTGATTTCAAACTTGTCAAACGCCTTACGTTCAGGGGCGGACTGGGTAGGCACCGGCCCAGTGGGCAAATTTTGGAAAGTAACCTAAAACATAAAAAAATAGCTCTAACTGCATTCGAAAAATGTTCTATACACATTTTTTGTTTTAGGTCGTTAGCTGATACCTTTTACTCAGCATTTCTTTTAAGTCAAAGTTTCTCCGCTCCTCATTTAGATTTTTTTTGGTTTGATTCAATACCAACTCAATAATTAAATGAAAATAAATTAATGAAATCGAACTAAATTAAACGTATGATCGTATTAATCGTATTTAAAATTACTTTATGTTGCGCATAGATGCATAATGCATACTGACAACTGAAAAGACATGACAGTCACGGACTAAGATATTAATACTCTTATCTACCGATAATTTTCCCGCATCAGATTATTTATATACCATTCGTGTGTGAGTGCCGTGCGGTCGATTGTTATTATTATTATCCGATTACAATTTAATTATTAGCGATTATTATTATTATTCTTTTTATATATATATATTTCATTATACTTTAATACTTAATCGAATATAAAAACTAAAATTATTATATTACATATCAGTATATACTTAAAATTTGACGTTTTCATCTATTTGTGGGGGAGGGGGGTGAAAACCCCCAAAACCCCCCATAAATACGCCACTGACACAAGGTAATTTATTAAATCTACTGGCCGATTATTTATTACTTATCGAATCACGCATGAGTGTTATAATATTGTCAAAATACATTAGTGGTGTTCCTGACTGTCTTTTAGGGAACCCGTGATTATTAATTGTTGTTTTTAAAATAGATAACATGAACAGCCAGCTAGGTACGTATTACCACGAGCTGGTCTGTGGTCATAACGGTTTATTTACAAATTGTTATAGGCCGTCGAATGAAGTAAAGGCCCACGTTATCTAAGTGATATCTACAAAATTTATTGATTTGTAAAAATACATATATTATCTATCACACATAAACCTTATAGTCTTGTCTAGTAATTTTTCTGTAATCAGTTACTAAATACCTTATTGTTTATCTTTCACCACTAGTATTCAATAACAAGAAATACACAATTAATACATAGTGTGGCCCAGTCCGTCACTGCTTACGTTTATAACTATAACTAAAAATTGTAATTGATTCAAATATATAATAACTTATATCATATATATTATATTTATATTAAAATTATATGATTGTATTAAAAAATCATCAAATCGGTTCGCGCGGATGTAATAACGAAGACCGATTTCAACCAACGAATTTATATGATTTTTCTGAATACTACAACTACGGTAAGGGTTAGATATGTGTTCGTACATGTTTTTCCGGTCATTTGAAATTTCCATTTCAATATTAAATGTTTTCTTTTATATGTCGAGTACGTCGTTCGAGATATAATTTTATAGGGTGTCTAAAAATGAACGCAGGATTTAAATCTGCTGTAAATTAAATGTATTTATTTTAAAAAAACAGTATATCATTCTCTTCAGGAGAAGTTAAGGTTTAACAGTGAAAAACAATATCGAGCATATGACCCTTCCTACTAACCCTACTAAGACTAAGATATTCTTATTATTCTTTTATCTAAGGTGATTATTCTTTCCATCACTCGATCACACATTGCTCATCAATTTCTTTGAGGACACCATGCATTTCTTGCTTAAGTTCTAAGACATTTTGAACTTCGTTCTGATAAACTCGTGACTTAGTGTATCCACATTAGAAAAAATCACACGGCATCAAGTCGTAAGATCGAAGTGGGTAGCTTTGGTCTCCACGCAACGAGATTAATCTGTCCAGGAATTTCTCACGCAGCAGAAGTGATTGTTTTTCTTGAAATGTGACAAGTTGCGCCGGCTTGTTGTAACCATACAAGAATATCTACTGTGCTCAGTAATTTCTTTTGGCCTCATTTGGACCAAATGAACATAAAAAATATATGGTTTCAACTTGTCACACTTCAAGAGAAACAATCACTCTGCTTGCATGAGAAGTTCCTGGACAAATTAATCTCGTTTCAAGGAGACTAAAACTACCCACTTCGATCTTGCGACTTGACGCCGTGTAATTTTTTCTAATGTGGATACACTAAGTCACGAGTTTATCAGAACGAAGTTTAAAATGTCTTAGAACTTAAGCAAGAAATTCGTGGTGTCCTCAAAGAACTTGATGAGCAATGTGTGATCGAGTGATGGTAAATTTTATGGAAAGAATAATCACCTGTAGGGTTAGTAGGAAGGGTCATATGTTCGATATTGTTTTTCACTGTTAAACCTTAACTTCTCCCGAAGAGAATGATTTATTGGTTATGTTTTTTTAAGATAAATACTTTTAATTTACAGCATATTTAAATCCTGCGTTCTGACACCCTATAGTTTCGAACTGGGTAGGCAAACCTGAAAGTTCTCCAATAGTACTATAATATTTGAAATATAATTATTTACTTCAATACATTGCGTCAACGTTACCGCGTTACATAAACAGTTTTATCGTTTCTTCCGCCTGGTATCGGACTGCCGTCGAGCCCCGGGGGCTTCGGCGGCCATCAGCCGAGACCTACAGCCACCGCGACGGTTCGTCGTCGGCGTGCCGGTATAGTTGTTAACCATTTCGGAGGAACGACCGTTGACCGACGATGTTGCGGGTGACTGGGCCGAACGACGGCGACCGCGCGACCCACTCCGTGCACCACTGGTTCCGGCTGCCTCCACGTCGTTGGAACGGTAAGATCCCGGGGCCACACCACGGTCGTCGCCAGTACCTCCTGCGACCATCCCGGCTGGAATCTGAGCGCAGCGATTGGCCGGGCGCGAATTTTCCCGTCGGCGTTTCGGTGCGCAGGAGCTCCGGCTCCGTCGGCGTTTCGGTGCGCAGGAGCTCCGGCTCCGTTGGCGTTTCGGTGCGCAGGAACTCCGGCTCCGTCGACGTTTCGGTGCACAGGATCTCAGTCTAGTGCTACGACGCCTCCTGGGCTGGCATCCACTTCGGCTCCTCCTGCGGCGACTGGCCGACCGGCTTCGCGATCTGCTGCCGCACGAACTGCGCCGACGACGACCGCAACTGTCGCCGGGCGTGTCTGCACTCGTTCCGGCAAACCCGTGATCGTCGAGTACCGAGCGTCCGTCAAGGTCAGTGGACGACTCTTCGGACAACCCGTTCCGGTTCTCAGTAAAGTTTACTTGCACGTTCTGATTCGCCATGGCAAATTAAGAGATTTCAGTTTTGAATAGTATTTTTCACCGTCCAGTTTAAACTGTTATAAACGATACCTTCTACAGTTATTAGTTTAATTACTGAAATCGTTTAGTTTCCTATAGAAACTGTACATATTAAGTATTATTGATTAAACGTATTTATTTTTAGCGAAGACATTATTTTATTTTATTTTTAATCATTACGGCCTAGTTTAAACACTATAACAATCGAACGATAAGTAACAAGCGGACCAGTTCTAACCATTAATTTAACATTTGGTGGCGGAAGTGCCTGTCCGCTGTGACCGTTCATCAAAATCAATCATATTTACATTATTTTAAAGTGAACTGATGAGACTCAAGTATAGTGATTTTTTTTAGTGATTTCGATGTAATAATACGGGTTTTTTTTCAAACTATTTTACTCTTGATTTTACCTCGGTGCTAATATTTTCACATACTTTACCCCACCCTAGTTACGACACTGGTAGCAAGCCTGATGAATTACAAATTACTCATGTTTATTTGGATTATCATTCAACTTTTAATTACAAAATAATTAATAATATCTTAACCATCTATGCTTTTCTATAAACATAATATAACAAAACTTAAACTTTATAAACATAGATTATATATCATATATTTATTGATTTGTAATTATTCACTGCGGATGGATAATGTACAAATTCAGAATTATTTTCGTGCGTTTCTTATTCTTAGTCTTCAGTGTATGATTCCTTATACTCATACATAAACCGAATACTTACCAACGCATTCGTTTTTGTTATTATGAACAAATCTATTAGGGCAACGTAATAATCGAGGCTTGATTACTCTTGCAGTTGTTATGTTGGTGACCTTAAGATTTTTAAAGTTTTTTTGAAATATATTATCCATTCTCAAAGGCATCTCATTATAGCCTGGTGTCCTATAAAGTGTTAAAATCTTTTTCGAAATCGTTTTCGCCTTGACGGTCGACTTACCATTGTTGTTATTTAGCTGATGGCCCCCCCCACTCCATATTGTTTCGCTCTGAAGCCTCAGAAATGTAGCGATTGCCTTATGCCATTGATTTCTGTAGGTCGATTCTTGTAAATGTTTCGAGTCGTCGTATTCGGCCGTCGTAACGATAAATGTCGTCGTCAAGAATAAAATAAAAAAAAACTGCATCTTAATTTTAAAAATTACAATAAAACTTCACCGGAGACAATAATTTTCTACTTATCACAAATTACGCAAGTGACTGTGATCAAGTGCTAAGTGGTAACTGTCGATCGATGCTCATAATAAATTCTGATTTCTACGCACTTAAGAACTCTTCTCCTTCTTTTATAAAATTGCAACTGTAACAAATATAATATCAATCTTATCGATGGTTATCAAAATCTTTATTTTTATAAATGCAATCTATAATTTTTGTTAAAACAAGGCTTATAAAAATGTTTATTTCCAATTATTTTTATCGGTCAAAGTCTTTATTCTTTGCATGCATATATATAATACTCATATATTTTTTATATTGATTTAATTTGAACTTAGCTCTAAGGTTCTATATAAAATACAATTGGTGCAATATATAATGAATATATATTTCCATATTTAAAGTTTTGTGTTGCAGTATTACGACTTAATTTTAATTTATTAATACGTATATTTAAATAATTAAGTACCTACATAAAGAAAAAATTATGTCCACAGTGAAAAAAAGCAAGGTTTTGCACCCAAATCAACCTGAACGGGTTAATTAAATAGGTAATAATAAATAATAACACTCCTAAAAACCCTTAAAAAATCAAACACCCAAATTCTATATTACCCGAATGATTTTTTTTTTTTAAAACACCCGAATTAACCAAAACCCGAATAAAATATTGGTATCCAAGCGGATACGTCGTATTATTATAATTTTAATAAGTAACAGATCTACGAATCACCAAGTCGTTATTTATTGCAATACTGTAAGTCTGAAATAGAATTGATGTCTCGCGTATGATTACCTAAATTTTTGTTCGCGTTATTCGTATTTGTTCAGTGTAGAGATGGGACTTATCGTTCATTAAGGTGAACTAGTTCAGTCGATTATCGTTCACTAAATTGAACTAGTTCATCGTATATTTGACGATTCGTTCGTATGAATACGTATCAAAGAATTGTTCATGAACGAACTAGTTCAATAATTATTACTCCATATCAACGAATCGTTCATGAACGATTAAGGTACTAGCTCGTACAAAGTGAACGGTGAACGGTGAACGAGTCGTTTATCAAAAGTAAACTAGTACGAAACCAGCCACTTGGGTGAATAATTCAATTGAATTAGTTCGTTCATGAACGACACATCTCTAGTTCAGTGTATGGCGTGTAGTACACATGTTTATGGCGTAAATTGTCAATTTTTGTTGATGTAACAATTTCATCATAACATTCATAAGTACAAATTATTATTATTTTTGTATTACGCTATGTCCTAGCTAGTGCGTTTTTAGTGAGTGCACGCACCACAAACACAAACGCAGAATACAAAATAGTTTATTTTTTATCGCATGCGATATGCCCGCACTAACTAGAAGTAAGACATAGTGTTAGTATTTTTAATTTTAATAGATATTATAACTTATAAGCTTCATACACATATAAAATAACCCCCTCTTCCCCGAAAATAAATCGTACATAGTTACACCATTGCTTGAAATTAACATAACTATAGTTTGGTCTAAAAAACTGTTGCACAGTTTGAACACCCGAATATATTCAACACCCGAAACCCGAAACATGAAAAAATTATTTGGGTACAAAGCCTTGACATATACCCACAAATATATTTACCAATACACCACTGGTTAAAGGCATGACCGTTCCAAGGTTTTTCGGGAGCCGGGGGCAAATTAATTTGGGGGTCCTTTGACCATAATAATAAGATATAATAAATAAAATACTCACTGAGAATAACAAAATTCTTGCAAACGTATTTCTCCAAACCTTAACCAATCAAGCTCGTTTAAATTCATCTACTGCATTATATACTTACATAACAGAATTGAATATTGTTCATGATTTAATCGCTCAATGTAATCGGACAAGTCACTACACGCGCGCGACTTTGATCGCCGACACGCAGCGTGTAATAGAGAATTTATTATTAATTATTATACATCAAGACTTTGCGAGGGCCCCGTAAAAAATTTTTCCAACAACGGGGCCTAGGGCAAAATGGTCTCGTGTCCCCCCCCTACGAACAGCCCTGGTTAAAGGTAATATATATATAGATAATATAATATTTAAAATATGTAATGTTATTTTATATAGTATTGATTGTTAAATTTTACATTTGAAAACGTTTCAAATTTTACAATAATTTAAACAACGCAAAATGCTAAATTATTCATAACGTTTTAATTGTCAATAACGGCAAACGAGAAATTTTTTAAACGTTTAAATTTGTATAACGTTTAAACGCTTAAATTGAATAACATTTAAATTATTTAAAGCGTTAAACGCTCAATGCTTAGGTATCACATTTAAATGTCCCATAACGGTAAACAAAATATATTATTTTGATTTAAGCCCTGGTCCAAACTTAATGAAAAATCAAATAAAACACAAGCGAAACTTTCAAAACACAGATAGGTGTTAAAAAAAGAACTACATAAAAATCTATTCTAAGCGGATCTGGCATTGGATTGAAAAAAAAAACCCAAGAAAAAATTTGAGCCCCCCCCCTAGAAGTAAGTCTAAATACACCCCTACAGTCAGCCCTCATGACCAAAACGTGTGGGCACATCGGTTCTTGTAGGCGCGCGTGCATGGTCGTGATTTGTAACACCACTAGAAGTACACCGGTTGCCTGTATCACAACTGATAACACGGAGGTAAGTCAATGTTTTCTAAATGATAATGACGAGTTATTCAAATTTAAAATTTTAATGAATTTTGTTCTGTTTCCTTGTCGTTATTCCCCTTGCGTCCCATTCTCAAACCACTGACGTTTTAATCGTTAATTATTTGATATTTTATCAGTGCTGATAATTATCATATTGCCTATAATAGAATGCTTGTGTGAGGTATGATTCATCATCGATTCCTATCTAATGAACAAACAAACACAAATTATTGCCTAAACGTTCATCTATAATCTTCCGTCAACTGTACGATGAATTATTTGACTTGATATACTCTACAAAAATATGATGGACGATGACGATCAAGTTATTTTCTATCCGAACCAGGGTGTTGATCCACATAATCGATGCTGCGGAGGTTCTATGTGGTGCATTCAGGTATTATAAATAATAATTTTTGTTTTATTTGGCCATCTGTATTTATACAATTTATTTTTATAGGATATATGTGGCATTATATGTGCAATATTTACATGGCTATTGATATTGTATGCAGAGTTTGTCGTTACTTTTGTTACCCTTCTGCCATGTCCATATCCAATTTTTCAATTTGTTAATATGGTGATATTTCAAATGTTTGCTTTTCTTGCAATGGCTTCTCATCTACGAACTATGTTTACAGATCCAGTATGTTTACATTAAATTTTTTATTATTATACCTACCTATTTTTTTATTTATTTTAATTGTAAAATAGATAGATAACAAATTACGATTGACTTATTTTGAAAATTAAAGCTTCTTTTATAAAGTAGGAAATTGAATAGAATCTTTGTAGAATGCATAGTTATCCAATTTTTCATAATCATTAAAATCTATTTGTACGAGATGTTAATTAATATAATTTTTATAGTAAACCTTCTGCAATAAGCTACCTGAATAGATTTTATTTTAACTTTTAATAATAATATTAATTATTTGTACTCAATAAAATTCATACATTAGATAATATGTTTACTTCCAAATTCAAATTATCTTCTATGCATACTTTATAATAATAAAATAAGACTTTTTACTCTTTATTATTAATACTAAATTTAAATGTTCAGGGTGCAGTACCAAAAGGAAATGCCACAAAAGAAATGATACAAAATTTAGGTTTACGTGAGGGCCAAGTAATATACAAATGTCCTAAATGCTGTTGTATTAAACCTTCAAGAGCACATCACTGTTCTGTATGCCAAAGGTATATTAAATTAAGTTTAATACAATTCCGTATTCAGAATACAAACTACTATATGCAGTTTTATTTTCAGATGTATTAGAAAAATGGATCATCATTGTCCGTGGGTCAACAATTGTGTTGGAGAGAAAAACCAAAAATTTTTTGTTTTATTTACGGTATATTGTATTGTATATTTAACATATTCAAATGATATTTATATAACTTAAAAATTAATTTTTAGCTTTATATTGCTGCTATGTCAATACATGCGTTATATTTGTGTATAAGCCAATTTGTATGGTGTTTACATTCCGAATGGAAGCAATGTTCTTGGTATACACCTCCTGCAACAGTCGTTTTTTTAATATTTTTAGGATTTGAAGCATTGTTATTTGCAATTTTTACAATGGTTATGTTTGCTACACAATTACAAGCCATTTGTTCTGATGAAACGGTAATTAATTGCAATTTTTAATTTTGTTTAAATAGTTTCTTTTAAAAACTTCATTTTTATTTTTATAACTTCAAAACTATTTTATATTCTTACCATGAATGACAGTAAAAATATAATGTCTTAAATATTTTTTAAATAAAGTATTTAAACTATCTGCATTAATTAAATACATTTTACTTAATTTATATTGTATTAAATTATAATTTGAGCACAATTAATTGTTGATAAACTGTATAAATTTAAATTCATAAATTATTAATAATCGTAAATTTACATTTAAAAAAATTAGTTTGTTATAGAAATAAATAAATACTTAGCGTGGTGTATTATTATATTTTTAATGCACAACCGGTTTTAATTTAAAAATTAATCTTCTGGTATATAAAAATTCAATAAAATCGCAATTGAGTATGAAAAATAAAATAAAGAATGCATTGAAAATAGTTGGTCATTAAACATAAAAAATCATACCTAAAGTCCAAAAGAAAATATTAAAATAAGATTACAAAATAGTGGCTCCATACTTATGTTCATTCATAAAATTACATAAACAAAATAATCTGATTTTTCTATAAATCAACTTTAAAACTGCTCCATCATATAAACATGCTAAATATTTAGACTTTTTCTATAAAAAAAATAATATATATAATACTGATTTTTCAATAAAAAACACTTATGATTTCATTGAAAAAGTTAATAAAAATAATATCGAACCAGGATGCAAAATTATTTCTCTTTGCGTTAAAAATGTATAAACGTCCATTTCTTAACACAAAACAATAATTATTTAAAAAAATTAACTTATACACAGTAATATAACTGAAATAAAAAAATTATTCAATCAATAAATTTAATTAATCAAAATGAATAATAAATTATATATCTGCAAAAAGATGTGTTTGTTATGGGTGGACCTTTAAGTACTCTTTTATCTGAAGTATACAAACAAAATTATGAATCCAATTATATTATTAACAACAAAATATACAGTTCATATATAAAGGCATATCATAGACATATTTATGACATTTTTTTTTTATTTAGAGGTTCAAATAGACAAACAGAAACTTTAGTATATATGTAAACAAAATAATTAAAAACATTCAATTTACACTTGGAATACAATTAAATTATAATTCTTGGATATAAAATGTTTTAAGAAAATAACCATAATATACATTTTGATTTTAATACAGCCTTAGAAGTAATAAATACTCAAAATAACTTTTAACTTTAAATTTATTTGATAGTTTAATTAAGTTTTTAACAATAAATTTTTAATAATATTTTTAATATAATATAAATATAATTATAATTATAATAACTAATATATTTTTTAGTTGAATGTATAATGTATATTAAATGTATTTATGTACACACACATATATATATATATATACTATATATTATTAAATAATAACAATAAAAAAACATAATAAACTTATAAAATAAAAATTATATTGCTTTTGTCAGGGGATTGAACAATTGAAAAAAGAAGAAGCTCGATGGATGAAAAAATCCAAATGGAAGAGTTTACAAGCAGTATTTGGTAGAGTATCAATAACTTGGCTTTCACCTTTTTCACAACCAGCTCCAAAGATCAAAGTAGATAATTATCTACAGGTCTAGTGATATGAACAGTATTTTCATATTTTTTAAAAATCTATTGTACCTAATATTAATTAATATTTCTAAATTATAATTGTTACTTTAAAAAAATATAATATTTATTTTATTGTAAACGTTTCAGTATTATAAAATACTCTTACAAGTTTGGTTAATTTATTTTAAAATTAATTAATTTAATTTACATTTTATAATTATTGAACTGTATCAAAGTGTAGGACCATGGTTTTTTATTAAGGACTGGATCTGATTATTTTTAGATTTCTTATTTTATAGACTATATAAATGCTTTATTTAATTAATACATTACTATTGTTAAACCATTATTATAAAATATAAGTCAGTCATTGGTTAATTTATTTATTTATATATTTTTATTTTGCTGATTTTTTTATTTTGTTTTCTTACTATTTTTTGATAATTATTATTATTGGCAAACAATAAAATTTATAATAGTTTTAAACACTTATTTGTAAATCTTTTATTTATCATAATTAAACCGTCTTTTTCCATCAAATCTGTATCCATAAGCTGGTGAATTTTTTACGTCTATAAGAGCTGGATTTCTATGGCTGTAGAATGATCCATGGCCATGGGATGATCTAGAAGCTCCATTGATAACTCCGTATGCTTCTCGAGGATAAAAAGCTTCAAATTTTGCTGCTAGTATAGAGTTTATGAACCATAAAGCTAAACACAAAAGTACCTGTATCTAAAATAATTAAAATTTTTTTTTTAACAATGAAATAAAAAGTAATAATATTAGATGATGAACAAAAATATGACTTACCTTCATGTTTTAAATTAATTAAAATATGATTTTTTTTTTTTTTTTTACAGCGCCCAGTTGTTAAATAAAAAAAGTAGTTGGATGAATTGTATTAAAACTGCTTCTTGATAGATATATCAGCCTATACCCATAATCACACATATATTATGTGTCAACATCTTTAGGTTATCAACTTTCTCTTGGCCATGAACAACAATGATAGTGGGATGGCCATAATACACAGTGACATAGGTAGGAGGGGTGTTTGGATGTTTAACCCCCTCCCATTCCCAAAATTTCAGTCAGTAAATAAATAAGTAATAATAAAAATAATTATTATCTAAATATATCAACCCCTTCCCCCTCATAAATAATCTTTAGCTACACCTATGATAATACAGTACTAAGTTTATTTAATATTTTATTATAGGTACCAAATATAATAAAAATAATGACAAATCAAACACAAACAATGTTTTTAGTGAAACAATAATAACATATAACAATATAATTTAAATTTTATTTCTTTATAAATGTTTTATTAATTAGTCAAGTTTCCAAGACAGGAAACTCGGCCTGAAGATATTAATAAAAAAAGTACTTGAAGCATTGTCTCATTAAAAATATATTCATCAAATTGATTGTAAACTGCTGGTTAAATCTGAAAAAAAATGTTCATCAATTTAGAATTTGCTTTTTATTTTCTAATTTGGTACAATATTTACAGTTAACTTTCCAATCAAAGCCATAAATAATATGATTGACAAACTATCATAAAAAGTTAAATAACTGATATCCAACACAAAATTATGAATTAATCAACTAACAAATAAAAATTATTGTTTTAATGACTTAATTTGAAAATACCAACAGACATTTAATAGACCCTTTGACTGGAAAATATTCATGTAACATATTATACCCACTATATTATAGCTAGAATGTATATATAAATATATTTACTTTCTACAATGCGTTTAATAGCCAAGACTGTTGGTGATCCAGCATGTTTTTGAACAAAGTTGATACCTTCATCACAACACCTTCCTAACGATGGATCTAATGGAACAGATCCAAGAAATGGAACACCCATCTCTAGTGCCATTTGAGCAGCACCACCAGTGTTTTTCGGGAATATTTCAGATGTTACTTTACATTTAGGACAAACAAAAGAAGCCATGTTTTCTACTACACCCAATACAGGTAATCCAACTTTTCTAGCAAAATCTAATTCTTTACGAACATCTAATAAAGACACTTCTTGAGGCGTGGTTACAACAACTGCTGAAAAGTTATGGGTTGATTTAAGAAATTGAACTAATGAAAGATGTTCATCTGATGTTCCTGGCGGAGTATCAACAATCAAATAATCCAATGTGTCACCCCAATCAACTTCAGTCAAAAATTGTTTTATCATTGCTGCAAAAAATAATATTTATGTACTTAAAATCTAGGATAAATTATTTTCTTAATTGCTAAAATTCTAATACCATTTTTCTTTGGCCCTCTCCAAATTACTGCATCATCTTTACTTTCTAACAAAAATCCAACAGACATGACTGATAGATTTTCTTCAATAAACTATAATAATCACAAAATATGAAAAAAACCTTTTATAATTCTTTTTATAATTTAACACATTCAATGTGTACTAATATTCATAAATTAAATAATAATAATAATGCCAACAAAAAGACTTATAAAAACCAGCATAAAATAACATTAAATTATGTTTTTAATATATGAATAGTAACTCTTGGAGTACTATTGATTACATTAGTAGTGAACATGTTAAATTACATTAAAAATGATATTAATTTATATGTATATCTCCTTACCACTGGAGACCATCCAGATCCACTTTGATGTATCTAAAAAATTACAAAATCTATTAAACATTTCTAAATTTATCTAATATAAAGTAAAATATCTATATAATGAAAAATTATTTAACAAAATGTATACAATATTATATAGTTGTATTTATAATTAATAAAATAAAGAGAAATTAATGAATTAGATAATTCTACATAACAAATTTTTCTATAAAACAAATTATTTTTGTTGCCCATGAGACTTAGTTATTTTATGAAAGTTTCTCTGTAATATTGATTATACTAACATTTTCATCTTGCACGCCAAATACAAGTGGAAGTGAAGGTCCACAAATATCAACATCTAACACACCAATCTAAAAATAAGTAAAATTATTGTAAATGGAAAAATACATAACAATATTCACCAGGAGTTTAATAAAATAAAATTACATTTTTTTGTTCGTTTTCACTAGCCAACACTCGAGCTAACAATGATGTAAAAGTGCTTTTACCCACTCCGCCTTTACCAGATAGTACTAATATTTTATATTTTACAGAAGAGAGTCGATCCTTTAATATTTCCAAAGCTAACGAAAAAAAAAAATAAGATTAAATTAAACATATATGATAATAGGAAAAATATTTTTACTTGCCTGGATCAGGAAGTTGAGTTTCACCAGACGCACAAATATTCTGATTCGGACATCCTTGACATGCAGACACTTTACCAGCAGATGAACTGTCTGTACCTGGGCAATCTAATGTTTTCATAAAATAAATGTTAAGTTGATAATTAGTATATTTTTTAAAGTAAAACGATATATAATGATTAAATTAAAAATAATTTTTATGAAAACTTAGGCAAAAAATGAATAAATATTTAAAGAATTAGTTTCATAGGTATTGAAAAATAAGTTGTGCAAATATCTAAGAATTGAGGTATAAAATTGTATAAAAAAGATTATTGATTGATTTTCATATATAACAATTAAATTAATTTTACTAAAACATTGAACGACTAAAACTTGTTGAAATATTAAAAGATTTCAAGATCAATAAAGTAATGTTTAAAAAAGGTATTTTTTTTTTTTTTAGTTTTATAAATGTGATAAGTTTAAATGGTGTATTTTGTTATATGGATATAAATAAAAAACTGAAATTAATTAAATTCTTCGTTAAAATTGTATATTAAAAAGCATTGCTATATAATTAATAATTTGTAGAATTTTTTTTAAATTTTAACTTACGATTTGGAATATTGGGATCCATTTATAACTGAGAATTTAAAAATAATACCATCAGACAGTTAAATCAACTATTTGAAAAACTCTTATGTAGTTATTTATACATGTAGCGATTTTTAATGATAATTCATCATAGTTAATTTTTTATTTCATTTATATTTAATGACATAAGTAAAGAAAGAACGGCAGAAAACCTTTAACTGTAGATGTTGATGATTTTTTTTAATATTTCACCATGTTAACTGTTATCAAGTTAATATTATCAGGTTTATTATCATGGTTTTGACCAAAATTTACGATAATATACGTATAAACATTTCAGCGATAAACCATATCTCAAAAAAGCGTGGTGAAACATCCATATTTTTTATATTTTGTTTTCTAAAATTTTACCACTATGATTTTCGTTTATTTTCATTTTTTTATTTATTTTATTTCGTTTTTTAGTCTTAATCCTTGATATGTGAAATAATATCCTAGGAAATACCTTGTTTATTTTTTTTGTTGCTTCAATTTCTTGTGTAAACAGCAAGTGTTTGCTCGTTGCAAAGTGTTTTTGTAACGCAGTCATGAGATTTTCTAGGCTTTTAGTGCATTAGGCTCTATGAAGTGGAGGGTTTTAAAATTGTTGTTTTTTTTTATTTGTTACTCTTATGCTAATTTACCGTTGATTACTTGTATTTACTTAATTATGTTACACTAGTAATATTTTTTATCAATAAATATAGAACTTTAATAATTTGTTAAACGCAATATATTTATAATATTTATTGTAATTCAAGTTTATTTAAAAAAAATGTATTTAGGATAACTAATTCAAAATTATACTTCGCAAGTAAGAGTTTTATTCTGTTATTATTTTTTATTCGATTTTAGAAGTCTATTTTTCGCGTCTTCGATGCAAAAATTCTTACCCAATGCTTCAATATACAAATTTTCCCAATTCGTTTTTATTTTTTTAAACATGGAAAATTGTTCCTTTGGAATCTGTATCACATGAAATTATGTTATAAATAATTGCATTAGCTATGTTTAAAATGTATTTACAATTATATTATGTTTCACCAATAAATGAAATCGATTATGAATATCTTTAAATGTGATATCCGCATCAATATTTGTTTTTTTTATTTCTTCAATAGCTTTGCAGACAACGGAAACATCTTCATCATTACGAATATAAGTGTTTAATTGTTCTTCTAATGCCTAATAAAGTATAAAAATAAAACATTATTGATATTTGTAATTCTATATTTCAAAAAATATATATAGCTTATTCAAAAACATTTGATAGCAGTGGACAAAGACAACGAAACAATAAATTACAATCAATGAAGAAAAATTAAAATTGTTTAAATTTGTCAGTAGTAAAATTATGATTAAGTTGCAAATGTATGGTGTTTTTGTGAGTTACTTTATGATTCTTATTCTAATTTACCATAATCCTTTCCAAAAATGTTGTTAAAATAGTTTTGCAATGTGATTTCAAACTTTTCCCGTAGATCGAAATCCAAAATTGGCATTGTTCCATAAATTTGTTTATTAACTTTGTATTGTCCAAGCGAACACAACCCAGATCCATGTATTTGTATTCCTCGATCATTTTGTAAAGCGAGATGAAAAATCCGATTTTTTCGTTGTAGTCATCTAGTGTTGGATTAGTCTCAGTAAACCGACGAATTATTAATTCATCTTGTTTTTCACTCAGAAACCTGAATTTTTTAAACCTGTAAATGTGTATAATATATATATATATATATATATATATATATATATATATATATATATA